GGAGGATTTGATGAGGCGGGGAGCTGAGGGGACACACAGGGAGGAAATTCCAGGTGGATGACAGAGAACACCCAGCAACACGACCCACTCAGAGTGGCTCAGCTTTGTTCACTGTCGCAAGCCTGAAACAAGGGGTCATGGGAGAGGGCAGGATGTTTATGCTGATGGTCCACTCTCCAGATGGTCATTGACCCCGTCCTTCCTCATGGGCATTCAGACACCCAGAGAACTCTCCCGTTCCCTCAAAAGCCCCCAAGTGAGGAACCATAGATTCTAGGACATGACGGAGGGTCTGGATGGTTAAAACCACAGCTGCTTCTGTTTCTCCACTGGGAGAGGGAGGGTGAAGAGCCAGTGAGCTTTCCCTGTGGGCCAAAGAGGCAAGGATGGGCCGGCCCGGGGCAGCTCCCTGAGCCCCTGCCCAGTGGGGTGAGGGAGGCACGGTAGGGACGTCTCCTTCCCAAGAACGTGCTCTGTCGTTGACTGTGCACCTTCACTTACGTCAGCTCGTTCGACGTTCGCCAAGACCCTGTTCCGAAGTCTATATATATATTGTCTCCATTTTACAGAGGAACAGAGGTTAAGAGATCCCAGTTTATGCAGCTTGTAAGTGGTTAAGCTGGGACTCAGGTCAACTTTTACTCTAAGTGCAATGGATTTCCCATCGCTTTTTCCAGAGTTCAGACGTCCCCCAGAACTGCTGCTCGGTCCTTACCAGGCCCTGTCCTGCCAAGCAGGGCGGGAGTTAGGGGCGGGAAGGATGGGAGAAGGACATGATGTCATCTGAAAACCCCTTGGCTCCTTCTCCACAGGCGAGTCCGTATCTGTCATCAAGCACACAGACCCTGTTCCTGACCCCCGAGCTGTCAACCAGGATAAGAAGAACATGCTTTTCTCGGTGAGCCATGCAGGGCCAGCTGTCGTGTGCTCAAGCCAGAGGCCCCGGTGTGGGAGGGACATGGCGGCATGAGAAGAGATGAGGCCCGCAGTTCGGAGGATGCAGCGTGAGGGTCTCCTCTCGCCTGATTCCTCGCCTCTCATTCACCCTCTCAGGGTACCAACATCGCAGCTGGCAAGGCCTTAGGCATCGTGGCCACTACTGGTGTGAGCACCGAGATTGGGAAGATCCGTGACCAGATGGCTGCCACAGAACAGGACAAAACCCCTCTGCAGCAGAAGCTGGATGAGTTTGGGGAGCAGCTCTCCAAGGTCATCTCCCTCATCTGTGTGGCCGTCTGGCTCATCAACATCGGCCATTTCAACGATCCCGTCCACGGCGGCTCCTGGTTGCGGGGTGCCATCTACTACTTTAAGATTGCCGTGGCCCTGGCTGTGGCTGCAATCCCAGAAGGTATGGCGAGCTCTCTCTCTCCTCCCATCTGCTAATCTAATCTGCAAAGACCCCTTTTCCAAGTAGGGTAACGTTTACAGGTTCCAGGGATCGGGACCTGATTGCCTTGGGAGCTATTATTCAGCCTACCACACAAAGTCTCCCTCTCTCCCCTGTCACTGAGTCCTCACTCCTTCCTCTTCCTCCCCACAGGCCTTCCTGCGGTCATCACCACCTGCCTGGCCTTGGGCACCCGGCGGATGGCAAAGAAAAATGCAATCGTGAGGAGCCTGCCCTCCGTGGAGACTCTGGGCTGCACCTCCGTCATCTGTTCCGACAAGACGGGCACCCTCACCACCAACCAGATGTCTGTCTGCAAGGTCAGGGAAGGGGGGGCAGCTCCCTCTCCGAAGACTGCCTTTGGGATGAAATGAGCCCTTCAAAGATGGGGTTACCCCTTCCTCACTGGCAGCTTCTCATTCTGGCCAGGGAAACAAATGCTCATAGGGCAGGTAGAGTGTGATCGGCCAGCTGCGAAAAAGGCTGAGAGAGACCCCTCTGCTCACCCCACCTGCTAGAATGGTCCTCCATGGCCACACGAATCTTGAACAGCATTTCCTAAACCAGGGCTCTTAATCTTTTCTTTCTCTTTTCTCTTCTTTTCTTTTCCTTTCTTTCTTTTTTCTTTATTTACTTTCGAGAAAGAGAGAGAGAGAGAGCATGAGCAGGGGAGGGGCGGTGGTGGGGGATAGAGAGAGGGAAAGAAAGAGAATCCCAAGCAGGCTCTGCACTGTCAGTGTTCACGAACCACGAGATCATGACCTGAGCCGAAACCAAGAATCTGACGCTTTATCGATTGAGCCTCCCAGGCTCCCCGGGCTCTTACTTTTTTCTGTACCTCAGAAGACTCTTTGGCAGTATGGACAACAGTTGAAATGTAGAAAAGAAAATACATAGGATTCTGTTTAAAAAAATGCATCGGGTTACAGGGAAACCGGTGATTGCAATACAGTTACCAAAACATTTTAAAAACAAATTTGTGATTTGGTCACACACAGACAGGCTTTGGAACTAACGCATTAAGTAGCAGGAAGCCGCGATGAGCAGAGATGCTATTGTGAGGGTTCTGCAGCAATGCAGCCTGATAGGAGAGTATCTGTGATCACACTGGTGGCAAAGGCACGGCTGTTGCTAATACTGATGTGGTCCATTGCCTGCATTCATAATTGGAAGGAAATGCTCAATGTCAGAAAATAAGAGAGGTTTTTGTTTTTTGTTTTTTGTTTTGCCATCAAAGTTCACAGACCTCTTGGCAGAGGGTTGGGGTCGGGGGTCTCATTCATGGACCCCAGGCAGAGAACCCCGGCTCTAAGCAGAGTTCCGGGGGCTGGCATATCCAGGAAGAATAAATTGTTCTGAGAATCGAGGGCCGTGTGGTCAGGCGAGGACAGCTGTACCCTTAGCTCCTTTGGGGACACCCACATGCTTGCTGGCATTTGAAAGCCTTGGAGAACGCTGACCGTCAAGAGGGTGGATTCCGCTTTCTTTAACCCAGAGTTTTGCAAATTTAACTTGACCACAGAACCGCTTTATCTCGGAACTCGTCTTTAGCCCCATCCTTTCCCCGCTGGCTATAGCTCAGAGCAGGCTTGCTCCTCTCTGGGACCTTCCAGAGCCCAGGCTTCAAAGCCAGACCGCAGGCTTCTGCAACTGGGCTCCTGTCCTGTTCCCTAAAAATGAATTGATTGCCCTCATTTGAAAGTCTGGAGATGGCACAGGAAAATAACCTGACTTTCTGGCTCTTCCTGCAAAACTGGAAGATCTGGCCGCAAGCACCTTTTACCGTGCAGGTCGCTTTTTATTAACTGATCTGAAGGAGCCTCCAGTGGTGGCCCGCAGAAACCAATGACTTATTTTGGGGCCACTAACGCTGAACCCGGAGAATGGTGGCAAGGGAGTACCAGGAGAGGGGAGGCAAGCAGCCAGGAGTCTCCCATTAGTCTGTGAGCATGGGACAGGGCACTGGCCTTCGGGGATGGTGACAGACCTCTGTGCGCCTGCCCTTCTCCCTGTAGATGTTTATTATCGACAAGGTGGACGGAAACATCTGTGTCCTGAACGAGTTCTCCATCACTGGTTCCACTTACGCTCCGGAAGGAGAGGTGTAAGTCCCCCCAAAGCTCTCCCCTTAGCTTCTCGCCACCCCCCAGACACACACCCTCCACTTCTCTCCCTGGGGCCCTGCCTCTAGTTTTGTCCTTCTTCTCGTCTCCTCTTCTGCCCCAACCTTGTTCTCTCTCCCACCTGACCTCCATGTCAGTCGCCGTGTCCCTGACTGTCCCTCGCCGCTTTCCCCACGTTCTCTCTGCATCTCAGTCCCTGTTCTTCTCTCCCTGTCTCTTTTCCTTCCTTCCTCCCTGCCCCGCTGCCAGCTTGAAGAATGATAAGCCAGTCCGCTCAGGGCAGTATGATGGGCTGGTGGAGTTGGCCACCATTTGTGCCCTCTGCAATGACTCCTCCTTGGACTTCAACGAGGTAACCTCTCCACGCCAGAGGCAGCCCCTCCACCCCCTTCCCACTGACTCAGGCCTCCTCAGCAGGCCACAGGGGAAGGGCCTGCCTTGTCCCGAGTCCTGTCCTGGCCTGGGTGGAAGGGGGACGGCGGGCGCGAGAGGTGGGAGCGAGGGGCCGGGAGCACAGGGCACCTACTTGCTCTTCCTCCTCTGTCCTCTCAGGCCAAAGGTGTTTACGAGAAGGTGGGTGAGGCAACAGAGACGGCGCTCACCACCCTGGTGGAGAAGATGAATGTGTTCAGCACAGACGTGAGGAGCCTCTCAAAAGTGGAGCGGGCCAACGCCTGCAACTCAGTGAGTCTGTGCGCTGCCTCCCGTGGGGTCCTCCTTCACCCTGGCTCGCACAGGCCAGGATCCAGGGAACCTCAGGACACAGAGGCCCCCGGTCCGGCCCGGCAGGGCCTTGTGCCCCATGCCGGGACCCCAGTCAGCACAAGCAGACGGCCTCTCCACAGCTTTTCTTGGCCAGGCTGGCTCTGGGTGGAACCTCCTGCCCCTGGACTTTCCACCGCCAACTGCAGCGCCCCTGGATGGCACTTCCTCCTGCGTGTCCCTAGGTGGAAGGGACAGAGCTGGGCACACAAAGCACAAGCCCTCCATCGCGGTGCTTCCCCTTGTCCAGATGAACAAACTCCATTCTATGGATTAATATTTACTTAATGTGTATATCAAGTTCCTCTTCTATATTGTGTTTCAGCATCGCTCATTCCTTTTTTTTTAAATGTTTATTTTTGAGAGAGAAAAATTATTAAAAAATTTTTTTTTTTTAACATTTATTTATTTTTGAGACAGAGAGAGACAGAGCATGAACGGGGGAGGGGCAGAGAGAGAGGGAGACACAGAATGGGAAGCAGGCTCCAGGCTCTGAGCCATCAGCCCAGAGCCTGACGCGGGACTCGAACCCACAGACCACGAGATCGTGACCTGAGCTTAAGTCGGACGCTCAACCGACTGAGCCACCCAGGCGCCCGAGAAAAATTATTTTTGAGAGAAATATTTTTTTTTATTTTTTTTAAACGTTTATTTTTGAGAGACACAGAGAGAGAGAGACAGAGAGCATGAGCAGGGGAGGGGCAGAGAGAGAGGGAGACATAGAATCCAAAGCAGGCTCCAGGCTCTGAGCTGTCAGCCCAGAGCCCGACGCAGGGCTCGAATCCACAGACTGTGAGATCATGACCTGAGCCGAAGTCGGACGCCCAACTGAAAGAGCCACCGAGGCACCCCTTGAAAGAAATATTTTTAAAATGTTTATTTATTTTTGCGTGTGTGTGCAAGCAGGGGAGGGGCAGAGAGAGAGGGGACAGAGCATGTGAAGTGTGCTCCGCACTGACAGCAGAGAGCCTGACGCAGGGGCTCAAACTCACGACCGGTGAGATCGAACCTGAGCCAAAGTCGGACGTTTAACCGACTGAGCCACCCAGGCGCCCCTCACTCATTCTTTTTTTCTGTTTTTAGTAAAATGCTCATTGCTGCTTTAATATAAGCATCAGCTTCTCTCTTATTTATTGTTACTGTCATTCCTGGTTTACTCTGAAGTGTCTATGATGCATCTGGTGAAAAAAGGCTCTCACTGATTTCGTGGAGTGCTTATTACAGCGTGCCAGGCTACTGGGTCTGCGTTGTCCGATGACACGTCTCTAGGAGCCCACGTGTAGTCATTTCCATTTGAATTAGTTAAGATTAAATAAAAGTAAAAACCCAGTTCTTCCCCTGCACTAGCCACATTTTCCATGCCCAATAACCGTGCTCAACTGTGCCATGTTGGATGGGTCAGATTACAGAACATTCCCATCATCACGGAAAGTTCTACCAGATAGTGCCATATTGTGCCCTCCTGTTTCTGCTGGGCTTTAAACTGGATGCTGTAAGAAGGTGGCCCCAGCAGCCTTGGAATTCTCTCCATTTGTGCCGTAGGTACCAGACTGAGCTTCAGTCTGAGACAGCCTGGGATCTGCTCTGACCTCCGGATCCTTTTTGACTGTGTTTTAAGGGGTCTGGGACTCTGCCCTTCAGGCACAACATCATCGTTCTGATTCCACCAGCCTCACGTCTGGCCTCTTCCTGTCTGTCTCCTCTCTCCCAGGTGATCCGCCAGCTAATGAAGAAGGAATTTACCCTGGAGTTCTCCCGAGACCGGAAGTCCATGTCTGTCTATTGCTCCCCGGCCAAATCCCGGGCTGCCGTGGGCAACAAGATGTTTGTCAAGGTCAGAAATCAGAATGTGCCTCGGTCCTCCTCTTCTTCCGAATCCCGAGGCCCTCTCCTATCCCTGCCCCCTGTCACTGTGCCCTGGAAGAAAGACAGTAGTCTCTGAGAGCCATTCTGGTCTCCTAGGGTGCCCCTGAGGGGGTCATCGACCGCTGTAACTACGTGCGAGTTGGCACCACCCGCGTGCCCATTACAGGGCCGGTGAAGGACAAGATCCTGTCCGTGATCAAGGAGTGGGGCACCGGCCGGGATACCCTGCGCTGCCTGGCCCTGGCCACCCGGGACAGCCCCCCGAAGCGAGAGGAGATGATCCTGGATGACTCTGCCAGGTTCATGGAGTACGAGGTGAGCAGACGAAGCCTCCCGTCACCCCAGAGTCATCCGCCTCACCCCTGCACCGCCCCGGTCCTTTCCTACTTCACACGGGCCCTAGAATCACAGGACAGGACCTAGAATCTGAAAGAACATTAGGAATCCCCTAGTCCAGTACTACTTTGCTTGTGATCATGGACCTGTGTGAAGTGAGGCGTGGCGCTTGCAGACAGAACAGAGAGCCACTCGGTCACCGGGCATTCTTGGTTCTGCCGATGTGTTTCCAGAGTGAGGTATTCCTGATTCGAGAAGCAGGGCATAGACCTGAATTCTGGCGCAAGCGCCTTATCTTGCAGTGGACTGGCTCTCTCAATAGCACCAAAGTCCACTCCCTTCGTTTTCCAGACGGGACCCCTTGGCCCGGCAGGTAGCGTGGATTTGCTCAAAGCTGTAGACTGAGTGAGTGGCCCTCCTGAGGGCAGAAGCCACTGTCCTCTCAGCTCGAGTTCTTGCCCTGAAATGCACACGGTCTATCAGCGACGACGGGCTTGGCGGCGTCAGGCCTGCAGGCGCACGTGTGAACAGGGAGGATCTCTTGCCCCTGGGCTTCTGAGGCCCCCCCTGGGATTTACACACCGGGCCCAGGGTCAGCTTTCTCCCCATTTCCCCCTGAGCTTCCTCCCCAGCTCATTTTCCGAGTCCTTCCCCAACCCCGTCGCTCTCTGCTGTCTCCCCAGACGGACCTGACATTTGTCGGCGTGGTGGGCATGCTGGACCCACCCCGCAAGGAGGTCACGGGCTCTATTCAGCTGTGCCGGGATGCCGGAATCCGAGTCATCATGATCACCGGGGACAACAAGGGCACAGCCATTGCCATCTGCCGACGAATCGGCATCTTTGGGGAGAACGAGGAGGTGGCTGACCGAGCCTACACCGGCCGGGAGTTTGACGACCTGCCCCTGGCGGAACAGCGGGAGGCCTGCCGTCGCGCCCGCTGCTTCGCCCGTGTGGAGCCCTCCCATAAGTCGAAGATCGTGGAGTATCTGCAGTCCTACGATGAGATCACGGCCATGGTGAGGGGACGGCAGGGCTGCGCGGCGGGGCCCACGTGCATGGGCGACGAGCAGTCTGCACAGAGTCCCCTGAGATGATGGTCTCGAGAGCTGGGGGCCCCGGGGGACTAAGCGGGGACCCTGGCCAGATGCACAGGGGAGGGTCAACCCCGGAGGAGGGGTGTGTGCCAGGCTTCACATCCCACCTTCGCTTTCTCCCCTCAGACAGGTGATGGTGTCAACGATGCCCCTGCCCTAAAGAAGGCCGAGATCGGCATCGCCATGGGATCCGGCACCGCCGTGGCCAAGACCGCTTCCGAGATGGTGCTGGCCGACGACAACTTCTCCACCATCGTGGCTGCGGTGGAGGAGGGCCGCGCCATCTACAACAACATGAAGCAGTTCATCCGCTACCTCATCTCCTCCAACGTGGGCGAGGTGGTCTGGTGAGCGGCCAGGGAGGGCACCGCGGAGGAACCCAGGGCTGGGTGGGGGTGGGGGGCGACCCCAGGTCCGGAGGCAGGATGGACGTGTGACCCCCTCCTTCTGGCAGCATCTTCCTGACCGCCGCCTTAGGACTGCCTGAGGCCCTGATCCCTGTGCAGCTGCTGTGGGTGAACTTGGTGACTGACGGGCTCCCGGCCACAGCCCTGGGCTTCAACCCACCAGACCTGGACATCATGGACCGGCCTCCCCGGAGCCCCAAGGAGCCCCTCATCAGTGGCTGGCTCTTCTTCCGCTACATGGCAATTGGGGGTGAGCAGGACGGGACCCCACAATCCTTCCCAACCCTCCGGGACACCTGCTCCCTGATGCAGCCAACTCGAGGGGCCCTCTTCCTCAACCAGCTGTTCATGGCCAGGAGCCCTCCTGACGCCTCCCCTCTCCCGTCTCTATCATAGGCTACGTGGGTGCGGCCACTGTGGGAGCGGCTGCCTGGTGGTTCCTGTATGCAGATGACGGGCCTCATGTCACTTACAGCCAGCTGGTAGGGAGGACAGAGGCGGGAGGAGGGTGAGGAGCAAGAGGGTGGCATGGAGGCTTCTGTGGGATCCCAGCTCCTCAATCCTCCCCCTGCAGACTCACTTCATGCAGTGCAACGAGGAAAACGTCAACTTTGAGGGCGTGGACTGCGAGGTCTTTGAGGCCCCCCAGCCCATGACCATGGCCTTGTCCGTGCTGGTTACCATTGAAATGTGCAACGCTCTCAACAGGTGGGGCCTGCC